GTCCCGCAGCTCTGCACCACGGGGAAGGTGAGCGGGGCCGCCGGCGAGCGCAGCCGCTGCCTCCTTGGTCCCTCTGCCCACACCATCCCGCGCCTTCCCCAAATCCCAGCGGAGCCTTTGTGTCCTTTCTCTCCGGCCTTCTCCTTGTCCTGCCTTGGACCCCGTGGTACCCCCGCAGCCCTCATTTCGGTGCATTTCCTCAAGCCTGTCTCCCAGTCCGCCGCTCCTGCTCTCCGTTCCCCTTTTCTTCCTGCTTTCCATGCCCTTCCCCTGAGCCGCACCGAGCCTGCTGGGCACCCATTTCAGTCCCTCGACATCAGGCTGCCCCCCGCACCCTTTGACAGTAAGCCCAGTGGATAACACTGCCAGGATCTTGAGGGATTTGTGTTTCTCAGTCCCTGTGGTATTCCCAGAATAATTTTTATCACGCTTTTAATTCCCGTGTTCCAGCTTACCCCCGTGCAGGGATTTCCTTTATCAGTCCGGGGCTCTGAGCTGAAGGGTGGATTCCACCATCTCCTCACGTCTCCAGGGGTTGCACCGCATTGTTTTGTTTCTCAGTGGTGTTTTTCTGGCCGTGGAACTGAAGTTGATGGGAGGGAGGTGGAGAAGTCTCTCAATCCTTGCTGTGTGCCTAGGAGAACACCTAAACAGAGGGCCTAGAAACACTTCTGAGGTGTGATAACCTCCAGACATTTTTGGTGGTGAAAATCGGCCTTCCAGCAATTTAAGAAGTGTTTATCTTTTTTGCCAAAGCCGTCAGTACTGTAACAGTTATTTTTATGTCTCTTGCCTTCTGTTTTAATGAGATTGAAATTTACTACAGCTGCTGTTGCTTTTTTCCAGGCAGCTTCCCAGGAAGCAGCGAGAGCCAGCCCATATGTTTGTGACACCCAAGATAGCACTTGTTTCCACTCCCTGGTTATTTACGCCTGGTTTTAAAGGCCTCAAGTTCCTTCTCTTCCACACCAGGATGGAAATGAAAGCTATTAATTAATCCTGTGGGCTCACTCTCCCTCTGCTCAAGCATATAATTGTTTTATAGCCACCCCAGTGCTGTCTGTACCTGTCTGAGGTGCTGCTGTGCTCAGTTCACAGGCTGATCACCTACATCTTCATCTACGAGGACCTGATCTCCCTGGCCTGTGGTGCTGTTATCATCTGGTACTTTGCTGGCAGCTTTGAGAAGAACGTGGGCACAGTGAAGCACTGCATCCTCACTGCCGCTTTCTCTGTGCTCTCCGCCCTCCTGTACCTCTTCCTTGAGCCCCTTGTCTCCAGGCTGCTGGAAGTGGGAGATGCCAGAGGCTTCATGCCAGTGGCTTTTGCCACGCTGGGGGTTTCTACCACCCGCTCACGCATGAAGACGACTCTGCTTTTTGGGTGCAGAGTTCCTGTGGTGCTGGTGCCGTGGCTTGGGCTCTGCATAGCGTGGTTTGTCCCTCAGTCTTCCCTCTTGGGGAACTTCTGTGGGCTTCTGGTTGGGAAAGTCTGTATCCTTTCTGAGTGGGAAGCCCTGAGCCAGAGAAGGATCGTGGTGGGAAGGGAATGCTGTGGTTCTCATTGCTGAGGTGCACTGGCTTTTCCTGGACTCTCACTCTGCACTAAACCTTCACTGGCTTTGCTCATGCTCATCCCATCCCATTCTGCCTTTGTGTTTCATCCCACACTGCCCCATCTCGGTGCATGCAGAGAACATGGAGCTGAGGAGGGCGGTGGTCTCTGAAGGTGGTGCTGGGTAGGAGTGGAAGAATTCTCCAGAGAATGCTGTCTGTGGACAGAAGGACGCTGTGTGGCTGTGTCAGAAATGAGTGTGTTTTATCCTCAGCTCTCCTTAACAAGCTCCTGGCTTCAGATGGTCTTGGCTACTGTTTCTGCTTGGATTT